GAGAAGCTGCTCTTTGATGCTGTTTGAGCTGCCCTGAAGTAGCATCAAGGGGGTTGTCCTGACTTTTACAGGGTTTGGAGTTGTGCATCCTCACAAGGCAAAGGGAACTCCAGCAGGCACAGTGACAAGCCAGGTACAGCCCTGTGTCAGCTTTCACTGACAACCCTGTGGCAGTGCTAAACATTTTTCTTGTCTGGCTGTGATGACACCTGCTTTCCAGCTCTGGAATGCTCCTCACACAACCCCAAAGGCTCCTCAGTTCTTCCCTGGGGAGAATTTAGCCTTGTGTGAACAGAGGCAAGGGAAGGAGAGAAGCAAGTGATGTAAGGAAGTCATCTTTCCTTATTTCCTCTCTCTCTCTCCACTTGACACAAAATGACTGTAAAATACAGGAAAGAACATATAAATTGTTCAGGGTATAATATGTCTCATCATTCAGCCCAGGAGGGAAACCCAAAAGCTGCAAATGGAGTCTGATCTCAGCAAGAAAGAAAACAGGGCACTGTTCTTTTTGGGAGAAGACTTTAAATCCAGATGATTTTACTTTGTCTCTCTGTTGCCTGCTCTGAAATACTTGTGCTTGCAAGCAATACTTGAATTTTCACTGCTCTGAAATACTTGCAGAGCACAGGATTTAGACTCAGCAGTAACAAGGCTAAGGTTAAGATAGTTGGTGCTAAAGATGTGATTTTGCCCTCCCCCAGTCAAACCAATCCCAATAAAACCTTCCAGTAGAGCCTAAAAGATGTTCTGCAGGAAGAGCTGCTGCTGAGTGTTCAGTGACACACCTGAGCTGGTCTCAGTGCTGTGAATACACTGTTGGTACAATTCCACTGCTGCATAAAGGAGATCAGGGAAATCAGGGAGGGCAATCAGGCCAGGACTCTTTGTTAAGTCTCTTTTGGGATCTCTTTTGGACCAATTCACTGAGATAAGTCTGCCCTGCAGAGCTGTCAGCAGAGTGGGCATGAGCCAGAGAGCAAATCTGATGTTGGAGGTGGGTGTTGGCTCCTGCCCCTCCCTTCTCAGCAGTATGAACACAGAGGGAGAGCTGCACTGCTCTGCATTTACCCAGAGCAGCAGTGGTTTGCTCTCCAAAGAACCCAGAGTTCCTCAGGAACCTTTGGACCTATTTTAAAACTATTTCAGACACTCAGGGCTGCATCAACACCAAATGTGAAGTTCAGAGTTTGCCACCTCCCAGATGTGCTGTTGCTACAGGATATGGGAGAAGTTCTCTGAAGTGGATCAGGGAAATGATCAGGCTTTAAATAAAACCTGTTAAAATGGTATGAACCCAGATAAATTCCCTTATTTGCTTTAGAACACCCGTGACCTTGAACATTTAGGCAAAGAAGGCAGAAAATATTTCTTTTGGTGCTTTAGACTTGCTCTGATTTACATCATAATCAGAAAGGAGTAGAACATGTAGGGGCAATGCCATGATTTAGTTAAATATGCTCCAGAAACCCACCCTTGATGAGCTTTCTCAGCATGCTCTGGTCCCATCAGTGTTAGTTTATAACTCAGATATTACACACATGCCAGAATCCTGCACAATCCCTCTGCTTTAGACAAAACAACAAGGAGGCATGTAGGCAGTACACAGTCCTAATCCCTGGATCCAGTATATCCAAAGTTTGGCCTTGTTTTTCCTTGAGTTGATGAAATGGAAATTCAAATGTTACTTTGACAGTGCCATAGGAAAGTCTAAATTAGGGACTGTAAATAGAGTCTGAGCTGACATTTCAGCTTGGAAGTTAGGGGCAGGAATGAAGGGAAGCAGCCAGCACGAGTGTTCACTTGGATCTTGAGGGAAAACTTAACATTTAAGAGGCTTTTTTTCTACTGATACTGTAATTTGTAAAGCCACATCTGAAGGCCATTTGGTTTTGTACTCAAGATATCAATTCAAAACACACTGTTATTTAACATTTTTTGTCATCCTCTTTTCTTACCCCCCATCTCCCCATTCCCTCCTTTGGATTCTCTGCAGTAATTCCTGAAACAGGAGGGAAATGAAGCTGTTTACCAGGCTGGAAAGATGAAAAGTTTTGGTAACCAAGCTCGACATGCCAAGCTGGGAGCATTCCACATCCTTGATTTCTGTGCTGGCCTGGAGTTTTTAATTAAATCTCATCTAGTGGTCACTGCCCAGCCCTGCTCTGCCAGGCAGGATCCCATATCCAGAGGCTCTGCTTTTTAGGGCAGCATCCTGAGCAGCCTCTGCAGGGATGTTTTTTATAAGAACCTGCAAAACAAAGCTCTCTGAGGGGGACTGAGACACAGGATGAGTGTCTGAGAAAACTCACTAGGACTGGAAAGTGGGAGAGTTGCCCACAGATCTTTTCATTTGCATTCCCTTTCACTTTAGTATTATAAACACACGTCAATGCTTTTAGCCTGGTGCTGGGAGATACTATCCCCATTTGGTGCATAGGGAAGATCCATCTGTCTGGAGAGGTACTGGTTTATGCTGGGAAACATTGGATCAAGCCAGGATGGCAAAGATGAACCTTTGGGAAACTAGTCAAGCTGGAAATCAAAGAAAAGGCAACATTTCCTCACGTGTCTTTAGGAAGTGACCCTGATTTCTGCTCTTTGTGCTCTTACAGCTCCATGTCCCAAAGCACTGGGTGTGACCCAGCTTAGCTTATCCCAGGTTGTTGAGATTGTTGTGACAAACCTCTGGGTGCTCCTGCTTCTTCACCATGTTCTTGTCCATCTCTTTCCCACTTTAAATTCCTGTTGTAACGAGCCCATTTTCAATGGAAAGAGAGATCTGCATCCAAAGCAGTGTTGGCAGGTGGGGTTGGGGGGATTCTGCCCCTCTGCCCCCTCAGGTGAGACCCCCCTGCAGAGCTGCTCCAGCCCTGGGGAACAGCACAGGGAGGACATGGAGCTGCTGGAGAGAGTCCAGAGGAGGCACCAAGAGGATCAGAGGGCTGGAGCAGCTCTGCTGGGAGGAAAGGCTGGGAGAGGTGGGATTGTTCAGCCTGGAGAGGAGAAGCTTTGGGGTGACCTGATTGTGGCCTTGCAGGACATGGAAGAGAGCTACAAGAAACATGGAGAGAGACTTGGACAAGATTTTGGAGTGACAGGACAAGGGGGAATGGCTTCACACTGACAGAGAGTTTAGGTGAGATATTAGGAAGAAATCCTTCCCTGTGAGGGTGGGGAGGCCCTGGCACAGGTTGCCCAGAGAAGCTGTGGCTGCCCCATCCCTGAAGTGTCCCAGGCCAGGTTGGATGGGGCTTGGAGCAACCTGGGCTGGTGGAAGGTGTCCCTGCCCATTGCAGGGGGTGGAACTGGATGATCTTTAAGGTCCCTTCCAGCCCAAACCATTCTGTGACTCTAAGAAGCTGTAACAGCAACAGGCACAACATCCCACCTGGAACCCCTGGTATATAGTCAGGACTGAAATCTCTTTCCCTGTGAGTTTTATTTACAGTTTGAGCTGTTTTCACACTCAGCAAACACACCCCTCAGAACAGCCTGTGCTTCTTTTCAGAGCAGCATCTCAAACAGCCTCTGAAGATGATCTTCACTGTGCTCTGGGTGGCAACATCTTCAAGTCCCAAAGGATCCATTACCTGCTTAAACAATGAGGAAACTTTTGTCCTCTCCACTGGGAATGAGCTTGTCTGTCAGAGCTGCAAAGGAAGTGGATGATTTATATTTGCCTGTGGGACACTCAGATCATACATTCTGTTGCCAGTTTTCCTTTTCTCTTGGTGAATGCAAATACAATTAACTTGCAAGCAAAACTCCATCTCCAAGGAAAAGGCAACGTAAAATATTCAATTAAGATGGATGGAGCCAGGATTTTAAGCATTTTCACCTCATTTTCATTTATTAAACGCAGGTATTATGTCAGTAGCTCTCTGAAGTCAGAGGAGTTGGGCTCATTTATGCTCAAGAGCAACCAATTCACATTCCCTGCTAGTTAAAACCCTCTATGAGGTTATGTGAGACACTTCCTTACAGGTTTTTTCCCCGTCTCCTTCTCGTGCCATTTCTTATCCAACACTTTATTGACTATTTTTCTCCTTTGACTCTTTTCCCAGTAAGTTCAAAGCAGCCTTCATTCCCAAGCTTTCATTCCAGTTTCCATGACTTTTGGCCTTGCAACTCGAGGCTTTTTCGCCTTCATAATGCATTTGACATTTTTAATCAATGAAAATAAGGACATGCTCAGTGCCTTGCTGAGGCTTCAAAAGAAGGCTGTGACAAATTTCCACGTCTGGATGCCTTTGGCATCTGTACCTTTATTCCAGGTGATTGCAGACACTGAGATAACAAAGAGCACTCTCCCAGGACGTTGTTGTGCCACGGGCTGATGCACTTCCACGATTGCTTCCTCTTGAATTTTAATGATGTGCTGTTTGTAAGCCTTTCAGTATCAGAGAGTTCAGTGCTGTCCTGGCAGCTCATCCATCATAGATCTGTGGATTCCAGGAGGGCTTTGACCTTCCAGCTTATTTCAGCAAACAAAAATGTTCCTGCATCTTTCATGACCCAGCAGCACACTGAGCACTCAGCTCTGTGCCGTCATTTCACTCCTGCTTTAGGTATCCCAGTTTAAAGGAAAACGTGTTCTGCCCGGGGTTTTTTTGGAGGTGAGGGGGTTTAGTTTTGTTCCCACCTCTGGGATAAGTTTCTGCCATCGTGGAAATAAGAGAATGTTTTCCCAAAGTCCAGTAAGGAATAAGCTGTCTCGTTTTTGACTTTTGCCAGAAAAAACATGGATGTTAAAGTCATGTGAGCTTGGGGACCTGCCAGACCCCCTCAGGTCACTCTAAAGGCACCTCAGTACTCCAAGCTACACTCCAGCATGCATCTGTTGGATTTCAGTAACAATTAACCACCACAGGCCAGCTTGCAGCAGAATAATTTACAGTTATCATCCATTTGTCCTCATTTAACATAAACAACAAACCTTCTGGTGTCAGAGTTCATGTCATGGCCCCATGCTCTGCCCAGGACACAGCCCAGACATCCCCAGCCTGGGGAGACCCAGAAGGTTTCCCACCTGCACCTTTAGCCTGTGGATATGGCCATGGATTGCTGTGTGATCCTGCAGGATCTGATTCACTGTCTGCAGGGAATCTGGGGGTGAGTAACTGGATCTGCCTCCTGCCTTCCTGGCTGACATCCTCGAAACACACTCACATGTCCTTTAGGGAAGGTCTTCTTTAATATTAAACTAAACAGATGTCTTGGTGGTTTCTGATATCATAAGTGTCCTTTCCTGTGAACTCATACTGCTATTTTTAGTGGGTTCATATCTATTCAAAGAGTTCTTTATTCCCTCTCTTTTTTCATCCCACATCCTCACTGGTTTCTAGGATCCAGTTACACGTGTAAAGAACATTTCTTTCCCTGTGGTTGTGTCAAGGCATTAAGCTGCTCCTAATGGGATTTCAGGGTCATCTTGTGAGTCTGGGATGCATCTACTTGGGGCTGTTCTGGTCATATATCTCTATTAAGAACTCTGTCGACAGCTATAGGCTGTTGGATGCTCTGAGTGCAGCTTTAGCCATGAACACATATATCAATGTGAATATAAGCTTAGATTCCAAGTTTCTGTGAAACAGAGGTATCAGAAACCATTCCTTGCAAAACCGTTCCAGGCAAGGAACTTGCTGGTGGGCAGAGTTTTTCCTTCTGGGCAGTTGTTTAAATGGAGGAAGAAATTAGGGATGGGGTGAGAACAGAGGGACAAAACAGGAGTGGGGTGAGAATGGTCCATGACTACACTGTCCCTAAATCCACATAACCACAGCTGAAAATTGCAAGAGGCTCTATTTTGTTCCATGATTGGAAACCTGTGTGAGCAAGTCCTTCTAGGAAGGACCATGGAATTGTGACACAGGGGCTGGACACACAGACAGAATTGATTCGAGCTCCTGAAAACCCTGCTGTGCTACCAGACTGAGGATTCAGGATACAGCCTGTATGAGTGTAAGCTCCTAAATTTTGAGTCTTTTCTTCCTGGCTAAACAAATCCTGGGCAGCTTGCTTGTCCAGATGCCAAAGGACACAGGCTGGCTCCATTCACACAGTACAGCTGGGGTTCTGTTGTGTGCATGTGACTCCTAACACATAGTCATTAATTTTGCAAGCTTTTTTTTCCTATTTTTTTTCAGTTTAAGATGTTGGAAGCAGTCCAAGAACTGCGTTGTACCCCATCAAAATGAAGTTTTCATGGCATGAACGTGAAGATGCTGCATGCCTTGGATGTGCCCTGAACACATACTGGGAATTCCTGAGGGTGCAAAGTCTCCTGGAGCAGCACAAGGTAAGGAAACAGCCTGGTGAATTCTTCCCTCATAAGCTCTGAAACTTGGATTTCCAGAAGTGAGTCCGGGTGTTGCTGTGAGATTGTTGGTGGGCACAGAAGGGGGTTGTGCCTGGGAGAGCTGAAGTTGGGTGGTGGTGACTGTAACCACCAGAGCCTGAACTTACCCTGCTCCTTCTGTCAGTGCTGCCACAACCTGTGTGACCAGAGAGGGTCCTGTGAGGAGAGACTGAGGGAGCTGGGAGGGCTCAGCCTGGAGAAAAGGAGGCTCAGGGGGGACCTTCTGGCTCTGCAACTCCCTGACAGGAGGAGGGAGCTGGGGAGGGTCAGGCTCTGCTCCCAGGGAACAAGGGACAGCAGAAGGAATGGCCTCCAGCTGTGCCAGGGGAGGGTCAGGTTGGACATCAGGAGGAATTTCCTCATGGAAGGGGTTGTCAGGCACTGGAAGGGGCTGCCCAGGGAGGTGGTGGAGTCCCCACCCCCGGAGGTGCCCAAGGAAGGACTGGATGTGGCACTCAGTGCTCTGGGCTGGGGGACAAGGTGTGACCAGTCAAAGTTTGGACTCGATGGTCTTGGAAGTCTTTTCCAACCCCAGTGATCCTGTGATCCTCCAGGGGCATTCCCTGAGGCTGGAGTTGCTCTGAGCATTGGGCACACACTGGGTTTATGAGCTAAAGGCTGACACAGCTGCAGGAATCCAGCCAGTGTGTTTTTCTTGGGAAGGATGGACTGTATTGTACAGAAAAACCCACTTGTTGGTCAGCTCTTCTAAATTCTTTCTCTCTTCTGTCCTCTCTGAAAACTTCTTTTGTGTACTTTGCCGTGACCTTTCTCTACAAGTCACCTTATTCCCATCTCTCTCCAGCCATGTTTTCCCCTGGACTGTTCTACTTTCCAATCACCATTTTCTCACATTTGCCAGCCCTGATCTCTGCTCGTTTCCAGCCCACCCACTTCCAAACCAAACTGCCTTTGGGAGTACCTGCTGCCCTCACAGCAGCTTCCTTGCACACAGACAGTCCTCTGGGGAGCACCAGCAGCCCTCCCAAAATGTTGGGAGGAATATCAAATTCTCGTGTTCTCTGTGATGAAAGAGCCTCCTACTAGAAGGAGAAATAAACACTTCTCTTACAGGCAATGCATTCATTATTTGTTCCTTCTAGAGGCTCCTTCTCCTCATACCTGCCTTTGGGACACATAAATCATTAGTTTAACTTGATATGTGTATTTTCTAGTCTTCTGTTTTCAGGGCAGTGGACATGTTGGCATTTCTCCATCAGCCTCCCCACAGCAGCACAGTTATTTTGTTATCACTCTCCTCAATGCAGCATTTGTAAATTTTTCACATATTAGATTATGGTAATGTTGAAAATATTCTTTAACCTTTGTTTGAGCCAGGACTCAGAAGAATAGCCTGATTTATCTGCTTCATGGGTGGTACTTCAGGCAGTTGATTTACCCAAGCACAAACTACATTATTTACCTTGACTGTCTCTTTGTGTTTGCCAACAACATTTAATGTTTCAAATTGAAATAGGCCAGAGAAAAGGAAGAATGTGCTCAGTGGCTTTTTTATCCTCTAATAGGACATTCTAGGTTTGTACCTTAATAGAAAATCTTGTTCCAGTCCTAAACCTGAGAGGACTGGACATAGAATTGAGTCTACAGCTGATATGTTACAACAGATAATAAAGATGTGGTACCAACCTTGACAACTGTTCTACTCTGACCAGTAGGAAATAGGTAGAAATAGAGAACCTGTGATTTAGCAGAAGAAACCAAAGCTGTGCTGGATGTCAGGAGCACCCTGAGGTCACCCTCCCTCCCAGGCTCCTACAGGCAACCAGCAGCCTGAAAGGGTGAGATGTGATTCACTGTCTCAATCAAAGTCACAAAAGCAAATCAGGACTAGATTTAGCAAAATTATGTGAATTTTTCCTCACATTTTCACTTGCATCATTGTTAAGAAAACTCAGAAGTTCTGTACAAAAAAAGCAGTACCTTTTTTCTCATATTGAAGTGCAGATAAGTGTTGGGGCAAAGAGTCTTTCTTACATGGTAATAAAGTGAACTTGAGATCTACTGATGTAATGGGAACTGAACTGAACTGGAACTGGAACTCTGATCTGTCAGCATCAAAGTTTCCTTTAAAATCCATCTCGTGAAAGAGGAGTTCCCACGACTCTCATCCAGATTTAACCCTTCACAAAAAAGCTGGAGGATACAGATTTCTTCCTGTGTGACTTGATGCTCTAAATCCAAGTTTTTAGGTGTCTGGTTCTGACTGTTTCCTTTAAAAATGTCCCTTGGTCTTGTGCAACTGAGGAGCCCCCATCCTTCTGACAGGTTTGCTTCAAGCAGCTCAGCCAGAACAGCTCTCAGAAGTTCCAGAGCTCAGTAACAACGTTTTAACGTGGATAATAAAAAGGTCAGACTCCATTTCTTTTAATCCCTGAGACTGAACTTCTCAGAAATGGGTAGGAAACAGTGCAGTGCACCAGAAGAGAGCAAACAGCTGAAGTGGATGATGCTGCACTGCCACCCAAGAGCTCAGGGTTGGATTGATGGTTCACAGGGACTTCTTGTGCAACCCTGGCTGAGCAGCTTCAAACAGCAATATCTCTGGTAATTATTACTATTATTATATATTATTGAGGTCACTTGGTTTGTTCAGCCTGGAGGAGAGGTGACTGAGGAGAGATCTCACAGCAGGAAACAACTTCCCCCCGAGGGGCAGCTCCAATCTCTGCTCTGTGTGAGCAGGGACAGGACCCAGGGAACTGCTGGAGCTGTGTCAGGGCAGGGTCAGGTTGGATCTCAGGAAAAGGTTCTTCCCCCAGAGGGTGGTTGGGCACTGACCAGGCTCCCCAGGGCAGTGGGCACAGCCCCAAGGCTGCCAGAGCTCCAGGAGGGTTTGGACAACGCTCTGAGGGACAGGGTGGGATTGTTGGGGTGTCTGTGCAGGACTGGGTGATCCTTGTGAGTCCCTTCCAACTCAGGATGTTCTATGATTCTATAATTCTATGATTCCCTTCACCAAGTAGGTTTATACTTCTCTCCCTGATAAAAGTGCTTTGGGAAAAGAAACGTGGTGGTTTAAGGGAAGGTGGACCATTGTTTGCTCCTGCAATTCAGCAGTGAAACAACTATGCTTTATTCAAGATAACCATAAAAAGCAGTGAAATTTATTGTGGAAAGGAACAATTTTGTTGTAACAATAGCAACAGTCTCCTCAGTGACAGGCACTGTGCCAGAAAGCCACAGCAGTGCTTGGAGAGCACAGCCAACACAATCCATCCCACTTCTGAGGAACCTTCAAGAAGCCTCACGTTAGATTTGATATGTTGAGTGTGGCCCCAAACCCAAGGCCTCTGTACAACTGCTGACTTCATTATTTGGCATCCCCCTGGTGTCTGACTGCAGTTTCCCAGTAGAAGTTAACTGGGTGCCTTGGCTTGAGCTCCTTCCCACCCGTGACTCTCTTGTCTCCTTCTCTCAGCTCTCACTTGCACTATCTCAACCTCCCAGGAGTTCAAAAGGAGGGGACAAATAAAGGGAGACAGAGCAGGGAAGTCCTTTTCAACTTAGAAACCATCTGGGCACCACAAACCCTATCAGAAAAAGCTCCAAACAAGATCCATGAGAAGGGAATCTTCGCACTGACGTAAACAGTTGAATATCCATGTGGAGTTTGTCACTTGAACTGAAGAAGCTTTTGGATTAATCTGCACTCAGAGCTTGCCAAGGCCATGGGGGGAAAGGAAAGCTTGGGAAAAAGCTTGTTTGAGTTTGTTTGCTAGCAGCACTTCAGAAATAATGGGCTGTGAGGGACGCGGGAGGTTTGACCAGGGCTGTGGACAACCAGTGCTCTGATGTGTGGAGTCGTGATGTGCTCAAGGTCAGGGTAACACGGAGCCAAGACCAAATGGGAAAAGTGCTGAATGTGCTTTAGTGTCCCCAGAAAACTTCTCTGGGTTAACTGGGTTAATTAAATTCTCTTTTGAAGGCAGTTTGTCTGACTGGGACTTGAGTCATAACAACAGAACTGACCTGTCGTAAAAGTGCTCATAAACTTATCAGGTACCACAGAAAAACACCCCACCCCCCAAATTTTTAAAGTATAATACTTCACTACAGGTTTTATAATCTTCTTTTCTTGGTTTTTAAATATAAACCAAAACATAATAAGTGAATCCAGCACAGCACTTGACATTTTAACAAATTGATTGACTTAACACAGTCAGGTTTTTTCAGGCTGCAAAATTCCAAACATTAATTAGGATTTGTACTTTACTAATTGCCAATAGGAAGAGCATGAAATTTGCTTAATGTTTTGAACAAACTATAAGGAGAGATCAGGGCAGAAAGGCAGATTTTCTCATTCATTTCTGGAAAGAGAAAAATAATCAGACAGGTCTGCTCTGGCAGCAAAGCTCATGGAAGAGAATTCAAATTCAGGAACACTGAGGCCACACATGGTTCTGAACGGGAATGCTGAAGGAATCTTGCCTAAAAATAACTTATTTTAGTTTCAAGAGCTTTTAGCCAGGTCAGTGTGTGGTTCAGAAGGCCACAAAGGGATGGGAATGGGATGGGGCAGCAGCAGGAGCAGGCTGGGGGAACACGAGACATTCCAAAGTGTCCAGAAAAAAACACATTATCAGACAGCACTGGAAACTTCTAATTCATAGGCAGAGCAAGTGGTTTCTCAGAAACTTTTCACAACACAGTGAACCACATTTCATGTTTGTAATGTTGATATCTTCATTTTCCTTATCCTGGAAAGTTCTGCCTTTAAGGTTGGAGGAGTAGGTTCAGTTGGATCTCCAGTGTGAGAACTAAGGATGGGATTCTGATTTCTTTACAGGTGTTCAGTAGTGTTTAATTAACCATTAAACCACCCCCTTGAAAAGATAAAATATATTCATGGAGTGCTACAGCATTAAGGAGAAGCATCAGCTTGTCCCAGAGGGTGGAGGATCATTAGGAACAATCTGAGCCAACATCCTCAGATAATCTACTTTGTGAGCCCTGGTTATAAATATCCTGCCTTTGTGGTCTTTCTGTTTTGTTTTAGGAGTCATCTTTAAAACATCTAAGTGTTCATTTTGGGGTTTTTTAAGAATTCAAAGAGTTAATGAAGTATTTTGCTCCAGAGGGAAATCCATGAGTGAATTACAGCATCCTAGACACGAGTTATTTGGGAGAACAGAAAAGCACAGTGGGAATACTCACTGGCTGAGAATGCTGCTGCTGTCATCTCACATAATTTGTTAATGTTTGGAGCCCTCAAAAAAGCATGAGGGAATTAAGGCCCTAAATTCCACTGGGACTTGGTTATGCTGCTTCCATGGGCTGTTTTGTAAACAAGCCCCATTAGAGTCACCTCTGCTCTTCAGCATATGTTCACTGCTGAGGAAACCTCATCTGGGACAGATGTGGGTTCTTAAGTTCTGCTCTGCCACAGCACGAGGGGTTGGTGTGTTGTCCTCAGTATATGAATTGTGTAATGATATTTTATCAATATACAAACCCTGCAAGACTTTTGGGTTATTTCTCACCCCAACTAAGCAAAGCTACGCTGGGGTGCTCCTGTCACATCACTGAACCTCATCACTGAACCTCCCTGCTTTCCCCCAGTGCCCACCCCAGCAGTGATGCTGCAGCAAGGGCACCCAGGGTGTCCTGCAGTCATCCTGGGAAGCCTTGTGACCTCCTCCCTGAGCAGAGTAACTCAGCAACCCTACAGAGGGAGACTCAGGTGTCCTATTCTTGAACTAAGACATCTCACAGCCTGGGCCTGGGCTGCCTTGAAGGCTGGGAGCAGCCCAGCAGACCCAGCTGGGATCCAGTGATGAGCTTTGGCTTGAGCCCTGGAGCCCGGGGAGCCAAGTGCTGTGGTGTCAGGTCAGCAGCACCGAGGGGATTCCCTGCAGACATCAGCTGGTGACTTCTTTTGGCTCCTTTCAGCTCCACCCACCAGTGTGAGAAGGTCTCACCAGAGCCATGTCCCCCTCAGATTCACTGAGGAGC